CCCTCCTTATTATTCTTTCCCAGACAAGAGTACAATTACATTTTCTTTTTCAAGGAAACACAGCTGTAAAATAACTTTAATAAAGAGGCAGGTATTAGTTCTCTGTTACAATAAAAGGACCTTAAAAAGAAAAACCAGTCAAATTCAGCCAAAACATCTCTAGAAAATAACTTACATCTATATAGTGTTTAAGAGTTTATACAGTATTTTCACTCCAACAGCCCTGTGAAGTCATCATCCCCTTTTCACAGTTGAGAAAACAGATTCTGGGATTTTATCCCAGGAGATAAAAGTGACTTGTCCAAGGTCACACACCTACCACACAGCTGTTCAAAACTGATCTTCTAATTTTAAGTCTTATGCTCTTTCCATGATAGCATACTTTCCTCTTCCTGGAAAATATAGGCAGGTATTTTTGATGACCAAGTATGTTTATGAACTCCTGGAGAGCAGATACCCCATCTAATTTAGATATTTATCTCCCCCAATACCCAGCAGAATATTTAGTCCGTAAGTTTAGTGAATTCTCTATGTTGATTATTTCCAATTTATCCTGTATATAGCTTGTTTGTACTTAATTGTTCATATTTTGTCTCCCTCAGCAGATTCTGAGATCCTTGAGGACAGGGACTGTCTTTTATCTTTTATCTTTTTTCTTTTGTAGCTATCCCCTGGCTGACCTAATACATATTTGTTGAATTAATGAATGACTAGTAATAATATTAATGTTGATCTCAGCAATAGGACTACAGTAGAAGTACTGAGTAGACCTTTTACATACAAGGTTATACTATTAACTCCGAGTTGGTATGTGCAGCACGCATTTGGAGTTGTTTGACCTGTTATGTTAATGGCTTTTCACTGATTCATCCCTAATCCCTTGCCCAGCCAAGGGTGTACATTTATGAATTAGATAGCTGACAAAAGTTAAGAGTGTTGTCTATGGTCATAGAACAGGAAACAATAACTAACCCACATGGGGATATTACAGACAATAAAATAACTTATCTGTACACAGTGCTTGAGGATTATAAAGTATTTTTATCTATTATCTCACTTGAGCCTAATAACAACACTGAGAGGTAGACTTAGCAAATTTTATCCATCCCATTTTACAGGTGAAGAAACTGAAACTCAGAGAGATTAAAAATAAGTTGCCCTAGAGCATACAGCTAGTTTAATGGCAAAACCTTCTTCAAGTTCATGTCTCTTCATTTGCAATCCAGACCTCTTTTCTGTACTGTATACCAGGAGGTCTCTTCATTGTAGGCACCACACAACTACCTACTGAATGACTCTTGAAGCAGTCATGCCTTCAATGCTCTGAACTATTTCTGTGGGCAATCCCCACTTACACAGAGAAGGAAGGTGACCTCTTTAACTCTGTAAAAATTATTCAGTCTGCAGGAAATCAGAAAACATTTTAAGGGGGGTGAGTATTGCTTTACTCACCATCAGAGGAACTCCTCTTGGAAGGATCAGACAGACTGTGAAAGTGAGCAACTGCCACCTGGCTCCTACCAGTCCCTCCAAGAAACCAGGTGGCTTTTGCTTAGCTCTTCATCTTGTTTAAAAATCATTTTTGGCATGCCATGGAAAAAGTATATACCACACAGCAAGTTCTGCAAAATGAAGATGCTCTTCTTTCTAAAGGGTACATATGATTGGTAGCTTCAGAACTGTAAAGCTGCAGCTTATGGGAATGTAAATCATCATGTAATCTGACCCCTTCATTTTGCAGGTGAAGAGACTGAGGCCCAGCAAAGTTACTGACTTGTGCCTAAAGTCACAAAGCTAGTCAAGGGTAAATTCGGAACTGGAACTCTGGTCTCTGGCATGTCAGTCCAATGCTCTATTTCACTCCCATAACTGATGGAGCCAACAACCAGAATTGGTCAACTTAAAAAACATCCTCATTTCATCATGAATAACCTTTTTTAATCACACTCAAAAGGCAGAATTATATTATACTCAGAAATGTAGCTTGATTCTTATCTTTCATAATTTTCCAATTTTGGACAATTCAGGTCCATAACAAAACATAGATTGTTGTGACAGAAAGGTGTTCATCACTTAAACATTATAGGCTGTCCTATTGTCCAGGTAAGAGAATTTACATTTCCAATCCATTTTGAGAAAAAAAAATATATATATACATATGCATATGTATACACATACTATTTATTATAAAAGAAAATGGAGACTATAGGTTATATTTGTGAAATGTTAACACACGTATATAAAAGGCACAAATGTTTTCTCCATAGACACACATGTATCACTAGAGATAAAAAAAAAAGTCCCATAGTAAAAGTATTAGATTTTCACAGGTATCAAAGACTGAACACTTCAGGTTGTAAAGGCTCAATTAATTTCAGTTGGTGACGAAACAGAGTGACAGCTGGACCAAAAATTGCAAAACTTTGATAACCACAAAATACCCTTCCCTGGTGTTCATAAGAACTACAGAAAACACACACATTTATCAAGGGTAAAAGGGAGGAGGAGGAGGAGGAGAAGCCTTGAAGCACTAACAGCCACAAATAGTTCTCTCCATGGTGAAGAAAGAAGCTCTGCATGCTGGAGTATCCTAGCAAATTTTTCTCGGCACTCCAAAAAATCCTAACAGATGGATGGTGAACAACTAAGCAACCACAAGCCAAACGCTTGAAAAATAATAAAAAAATATTATTAGCCCTCAAAGGTTTGCAGTATAAATGACAAAGGGAAGCAATAATTCTGGCAAGAAACACTCATCTTTCCTCTCTCCCCCTTCCTCTGCCACCTTTTCCCACTCAGCCTCCAAATCACAACTATCACCACACAAATCTGAGTGGTTTTGCTGCAGCTTGAAATACTTGACTGATAATATCCTGTTTGCCACTCTAGGAAACCCCAGAGTGGTTTATCAGACCCTACACATAGCTGTAAAGAAAAGAAAGTAGGAGAGCTAATCGATACTAGCAACCCAGCTGTGACCTGGCACATAAAGAAATAAAGAAAATGAATCCCATCGATAATCTCTATAATTTAACACTTGGAAGAAAGCAACATCTGGGATCAACTCCAAATGGGACGGGGTTGCCCTGAATGGGTCTTGGCTTCTTGCACTAATTGTTAAACCCGGTGCAATGAGATGTTACTGAGATGATACCCTCTTCCTCGGGCTCAGAAACAAAGACAAACTCTTTGGCTTCTACCTAAACGTGGAAAAAATATAAAAGAGACCAAGCAAAAGGAGAAAGCTAGAAAGAATGACTGTCAAACACACTCCAAACACACCTAGAAGAAACTATTGTCTTGCTAACCACTCAACACAGCAGAATGCAGAATGAAGGCTTTTAATAGGTCAAGCAAAAGACGAGATGACTTTGTTTTAGCACTTCACAAAGTCAGTTCAGAGGGCTCCACGGTCCTTCCCCAAGGCAAAATTGGGGTGAGGGGAAGAGGGTCCCCAGTGAAAATGACTCCCACATACAGCACTTTGATCTTTCTTTTTTAATTGCAGGAAACGAATGAGAGAGGAAGAAAGCAGATTTTCCACAGTATCTCCATCTACAGATATCTGCCCTTTTCAAAAACACTGCCTGGCGGCAGTAGATGGCAGATAAGAAATAAGGGACGAGATAAATTCTATAAATGTTCTGATCTCAGTGAGACCTTTAGGGCTGTGGTTAGCCCATTTTTATTTCAGTACCTTCACTGGAAGCCCCATTTCTTTATTTTTTTTAAAAAGCAAACCCTAAAAACCCAGAATGAGTGGAGGGGGATGGGGAGGAGGAAAGAACCCAGCTTAATTCAAACAAGAACGGGAACTCTAGTCCGTATTAAATGGGAGGAGGGAAAGGAAGGGAGAATCCAGTGTTCATCAGTCAACATTAATGTCCTTTGTTGTTCACCTTTGCTTAGAGGAGCGAGTGTTAGACTGTTTGCCTTTTTCTCAAAACGGCAAAGTCAGACAGGTCCTTCCTTAAAACGTGCCCTCCTGCCTCGGTCTGACCCACGGCTATCCCTCGCTCACTCCCCAGAATTGAAAATGCACTTTCCAGCTGTCCCCCCACCAAAAAACCCCACCCCACTCTCCGCTCCCCGCAATGACCCCAGGATCGGACCGGACACAGTAGCCAGAAGTAGAAGCATAACCAAGTCCTCGTTCCTTTTCAAATGACAAGGAAAGGGAGCAATTCAACTGAAATTCACAGAGAAACTCTCCCACCCCCACAAACATTTAGCACGAAATACAAACAAAAATATGCGGGGGATGGGGAGAAGAAGGGCGTTAGGGAAGGAAATCAAGCGGGCTCAGTCTTCTGTCAGAATTGCTCCTTTGTAGAATATTGCACATTTTGCACTCTTGGGATGTTGATGCGAGCCAGAAGGAAGGGTTTGCCTTCCCTTTCTGGTTTTGTTGGTGTCGGTTTTTTTTTTCCCTCCCCTTCCTCTCTTCTCTGTCCCCAACCCTCCTCCCGGGAAATCTCTGCAGCTGATTGTCGTTTCGGATCCTGGGGTTGGGGGGGGGGGGGACCGAGAAGGGAGGACTAGGAAAGAGGCTCGCCCTTTCCCTTGCAACTTGACACACACATGCACCTATCTCCACTTCCAAACTCCGAAGACGGAGATGAGAGTAGGCAAAGCAGAACTGAGGGATTCGTTCCCTTTGCATCGACCGGCTGATCGCTAGCCAGCGGATCTGGCAGGGGAGGGCAGGGAAGGAGAGGGAGGGTGCGCGGGGTTTCGTTGGGGCGGGTGCGAGCCCCCAATCCAGCGAGTTGGGGGGGGCGGGGATGTGTGTGTCTCTCCCCGCTTTAAGATGATCTGCATAGCACAGCACCGTATCAGGGCAAAAGAGGGAAGCAAACGGAGGACTATATTATTCCACAACTATCCATTTCCAGTCTCACCTAAATACAGGGAGCAAATAACGAGAGCAGAAAAGAGGAAAAAGAGGAATATTGCAGGCACAGGAAAGAGAATGAAAGTTCGCCCGGAGAAAGACTCACCTACGCCGTATTTCTCGTGCTCTGTAGGTATCCACATGGCTAAAGGAAGATTCTGTTGTCCCTCTCTATTTCTCCTCTTTTTATTTTTTCCCTCCCACACCTCCTCTCAGGAGCTCAAAACAATAAACCAGAAGCCAGAGTAGCAGCAGTAGCAATAGGACTAAAAGCAGCTCAGCACTCTCAGTCCTTGAGCAAGAGGGAAAAGGGTCAGGACTGGAGTCTTCCCAAGCACTGACACTGCGCGGGCTATGCTGCCTACTGATGCTAAGGCTGCTTAGGCTGCTGTAGCCGGGGTTGCTGCCGCCGCTAAGGCTGCTGCCGCTGCTGCACCTCTTCGCAGCTTCCTCAGACGCGCTCCCGGGGATTCAGACGCGCAGGCATTGTTCTGATTCACTGAACTAAGCGAACACGCCGGGGCACTCTCGGGCGCACCGCCCCCACTGCCTTCCTCCACTCCACTCCCCCCTCTTCCCTCCTCCCTCCTCTGTACCTCCAGATGCATGATGGGCATTGTAGTTCTCCACCTCACTCCAGAGAAGGGACCGGGCACTCTAGCGATTGGGGTGGGGCTTATAGAGGTCCCTCCCACTCTCCCTTGTTCTGTTCTGCTGAATAAGAGCCGTTTGTGGCTACGTCTGGGACTGGAGGGAAGGTTGAAGTTGGGGGTGGGGTGAGGTGTAAATTCGCTCCTAGGTTCTGATTAGAACTAGACACCCAGCCCCTCAGTTCTCTTCCCCCACCCCACCCCACCCCCAGCGGAATGGATTCTCCTGAGACTAAGGGGGTTGCAGTTGGAGAAGATGGTGCTGGCAGCAGCAGCAACAGCAAATTCAGTGAGGCAGGTGAGTTTGGTGGCCCCCTTTAAGCAGGGTCCTTGGTGCCAGCAGCTTTAGTTTGTTTGTTTGTTTTTTTCTGCCCTGCATTCCAGTCGTCCCTGCTGCAACACAAATCCTTAGGTCAAACTGACTTCCAGAAAGAGCTTGCCAGACAGCCTTTAAGGCTGAGCTTTCTGTAGCCACGTGTGCCCTGGGAATGGCGCTGTGAACTGGGGGAGGGCAGGAGGCGGAGGAGCATATTTGGCAGCTGTTTGCCCAAGAGTGGGTGGAGAAAGGAGGAGGAAATGCCACCTCCCCTCCCCGAGCTGTTAGGGAACCCTCTCTTGGTTCTTCCCTTCCGGTTTTGAAGTAGCGCCCTTCATGCACTCCAGCCCATTCAATCGCTTTGGGTCGGTTTGGATTGATATTGGGGCGTGTGTTTATGACATTGGAAATTAGCAAGGCTCTCCACCTCCCTTTCCTCAGCCTTGGCTCTTTTTGTGCTTTGTTGGGCACCGAGAAACTTGTTTTATTTGCGTCTTGCGTCTTCCAGGTATGAAATGTTCGTTCCTGGACGTTTGTGTAGCGATCTCTTGCAGTTTTCTTCCGCAGTGGGGGAGGTTTGTGTCCGATGAGTTCTCTCGGTTCTCAGCCAACGGACCCTTGAGAGTAGAATGTTGCCGCTGGGAGTCTTGTCAGAGATCCAAGGACTTGAAGGAAAGAGGAAGAGAGAATTTGCACTCAGCTTCAGAGGCGATTCAGAGGGCTCTGGACTTTTCAGTGACACTCTCTTGGGTTGTGTTTTGGCAATCCCGGTTAACTTTTACCAGGCTATGACTTTGCGTTCCCTGGAAGACTTGTGTATCATGTCGGTAATCAGAAACTAAACTTTGAGGGAGGAACACCCTGCATGAGAAGCTAAACTGGGGGAGGAGCCTCTTGAACGAGAAACTAAATTTGGGGGAGGAGCCTCCAGGATGAGTCTTTTCGGGGATCAGAGGGGTAGAATTATAAGGAACATCAGAGACCATTTTAATCCAGCCTCCTCATTTTACTGGTGAGGAAACAACCACAAAAAGGGGGGGGGGGGTTAAATTGCTTTCCTGAGGGTACACAGGTAGTAAGTGTCCTCTCCAGTTCTGCCCTCTGCTCACCAATTCCCAGATTGCTTTTCTACTTCCCGGATTCTTCCTCCTTTCTCCTGGACAAAAGGAGAGCCTCCAGGCAAAGAATGCAGACAGCTGTAATAGTAACTTGCCAGTTGCTATTTCAGGGGAGGAGGAAAAAAAAAAGGTTTTGTTTTGTTTTGTTTTGTTTTGCCCTGGCTAAGGTTTGGAACATCTCTGCTGGAGTTTTTGTTGTTTTTTTTTTCCTTTTTTTTTCTTTAACAGTTAATAACCTTGTGGTCAAAAACTGAGTTCATCTCATCGCCACAAAGTTGAAGTGCTGTTACCAGCCACTTCTATTATCAAAATTCCCTAACGCTGAAATTATTTTTTAAAAGTAGCTCTGTCAGTGTTATATATCTTAAACTGACTGCTGAGTCAAATGTTTATCCACCTCCACATCCTAGACAGTTAATTATTGAGTTATTTGGTATTCATTTTGGTGGACCAAGTGCTTGACCCAACTCTCATTTGGGGGAAACATATAATTAAAGTTTTCTAGATGCTAGCATTTCAAGAAGGTTATTTAAGACCCAGGGATGTCACATTTAAAATCGTCAACAAGCTGACTGTTGAAGAAAAAATGATGCCTAAACTTTCACATTTGTTCCTGCAAGAGGTTCTTAAAATGGAAATGGACCAAATGAGAAAGCTGAGTGGAAAGCTGATTTTCAGTAACTCCTGAATCAGGGTTTTTGGTTGCTTTTTGTTTTGTTTTGTTTTGTTCTAATGCTGTTAGGAATCCAAATTTAGAAATTCTTGAAGTCAGTATCAAAGGGGAAGGTGTCATCTAATGAAGGACTACCAAAAGATGGACTTGAAACCATTCCCTGAAGACAGTTTACCAAATTACAGGAAATGCCATCCTGGATCAAATCAACCCTGTTGTCTCTCTTGGAGTAGATGCAGAGATGTTAGAGAAGCTGTGGAGTGCATAGAATGCTGGACTTAGAATCAGAAAAACCTGAAAGACATTTATTCTGTGACCCTAACTAGTCATTTAACCTCTTAGCCACAGTTTCTTCATCTGTGAAATGGGAATAATAGTTACTAACTTAAAGGCTGTTGTGGGGTCAGATGAGATAATATGTGTAAACAACGCACAAACCTTATTACTGCATAAAGGTCACATTTATATTAGTTGACTTTTGTAATGTCATACCACACATTTAGCATTCTACCCCCCAAATCCCCTTTAGTAATCCATTCATAGTATTACATAAATTTTCCAGACTACGCTTCAAAACTGTAAATCACTAAAAAATTTAAAGGAGCATTGTTATCAAGCACCTTTCTATTTTTCTTCAGTGAAAACCCAGGCTAATAAATCATGCATGGTGTTTATTGCCTGTTGTGTATTATACCACTCCCATTGAATTGATATAAAACAACTTCCTTCAAAAGATGCCTTCTAATTCTAAAGGTAGCATGCCACAATGGAAAGAATACTGAATTAGCCTGGGTTTGAGTTCTGATTCCATCTCTTACTTAGCGACCTTGGATAACTTACTTAGTAAACAGTTATTTTTTTTTTGTTTTGTTTGGGTTTTTTTTGGGGGGGGGGTAGGCAATGTGGTTAAGTGACTTGCCCAGGGTCACACAGCTAGTGTTATGTGTCTGAGGCCAGATTTGAACTCAGGTCCTCCTGAATCTGGGGCCGGTGCTCTATTCACTCTGCCACCTAACTGCCCCCTTAGTAAACATTTATTAAGCACCTACTATGTGCCAGACATTATGTTAAACCCTGAGGCTACAAAGAATGGCAAAAGACTGTCCTTGCCCTTAAGGAGCTCACAATCTAATGGGGAAACAATATACAAACAACTAAGTACAAGTAAGTAAATACAGTGCAACTGCTCTGAGACTCCATTTATTTATCTATAAAATAGAGATAATACTTGCACTGTTGTGCATAAAGCACTTTTAGAACCGTGAAGAGCTATATAAATCTAGGCTAGCACTTGTAAAATTTTTTTTTAGGCCTAGCCTAATATTTTAGTATGAGGCCCATTCCATAGGAATGGAGAATTATGCTCAGTGTCTGAGGACATGTCGTTATTGCCCAGATTCCTTCTTTGATATGTTTGGTGTCTAGATTCTGGAGTAGTACAGCACTGGACTGGAGACCCACCTACCAAAGACATCTTGGGGAAACATAGACATGTCACATCTGCCCCAGGATGCCTCAGAGGTTGAGCAGCCAATCAGACAGAACGCAACAAACACTGAGGAAAGCTGGCAGAAACACCAGACAACTGCAAGTGGTGTCCTTGCAATCTTCCCCTGAGCCACTCCTGAGTATTCACTCCCTTCCACACAAAGCACATGAAATTAGCCCTCTACATCAGGTGCTTCTCCCAAACTCATTTGCAGCACAGGGCCCCGGTTTCCTCCGGTTCCTCTTCCCCTGCATTTGTTCCTAACCCCTGGAACCAGGGCAGGTGGTAGGGTGGGTCTCTCTTCACCAGCACCTCCAGTTCTATGAGAAGAAATTTAGTGAAAACTCTCGCTCTCTGAGAAGCTCTGGGACTACAAGGATCCCAGAGATTTCTCACGTCATTATTTACTACTTCATGGAGAATTTGTGAGTACAGTTCAATTCTGTACATGCCTACCATGTGTGAGATACTATGTCAGGTGCTGAGACTAGACTACTTAGTCTCTGAGATCTAAATTCTATAGATACCACACAGGCCTTGCCTTGCTCTTAAGGCGCTTAGTGAACTAGGGACTGGGTGAGGGGCACATGTACACAAATGATTATGGTACAAACAAAAATCATTGTAAGTAAGGTTTTTAGCAAGGTGCTGCAAGGATGGGGTGATTATTCTTATGATGAGGAGGTCAGGGAAGATCCCACAGGCAATAATGATGATGCTAGTAGACACTTACATAGCACTAAGTTTTACACAGGGATTTACGTTCATTCTCAGCCAATCTTGCAACAACCTTGCTAGGTAGGTGTTGATCTTATCCCTATTTTAGAGGTGAGGAAAGAAACTTAGCAAGGTTAAGTGACTTGCCCAAGGTCACACAGCCAGTGACTCAGACATTGGTATCTTCTGACCCCCAGTTTGACATTTTTTGGGTAGTGAACTGGTTGGACTTGAAAAGGGACTTATCTCAGTTTTGAATTTGCTTCCTCAGCTCTTAGTTTAGTGCCTGACACATACTAAGCTATTAATAACTGCGTGGTGATTTATTGAAGTCAGAAGACTTATCTTCCAGTCCAGCTTTTCTCACTTACATGCTAGCTATGTGATCCTGGTAAGTCCATTTTCTTCTCATAGCCCAGGTTTCATCTATGAAATGAGGGGGTTAGAGGAATGATCTCAGATCTCTCTACTAACTCTAACATTTTGTGGTTGATTACTAGGTGAGGTCATACCAATTAATCATCATCCCCTTCCCATGCATGTGGACAAGAAGGAAGTCTCCATGCCCTTTGAAATCCAGTCTGGAGCACTGAATTAAAAGGGAGGAGACATAGTCTCTCGTACCAACTTTACTACCAGGCAACTCTGTGACATAATCTTCGTTGTTGCCTCAGTTTCTCCTTTTGTAATTACAGGATAGCACCACTTGCTTTCCTCATCCACCCCATAGGAATAGATAATGGAGCCCAAATAAGGTAAGAGGTCTCCAGAGTAAGAGTGCTGTAAATCTAAGGTATTATTATGATTTTTATCTGGTGGACATGTAGGAAAAAAGTCATTTTTGTGTCTTAGAAACTTCTGTGCTGATATGGTCAGGAAAGAAAATGCCCTAATCTTTAAAAAGCATCCTAAAGGCATCATAGCACCAGCAGTGTCAATTAATACCATCCAGACTTGTTATCTTGCCACCTTCCTGAGAGCTGCG